TGGTTAGATAGCATCACTGAAGCAAGGAGCATGAAACTGAGCAAACTCAGGGAGGCAGTGAGGAAAGGAAGGCCTGGCGCAATATGGTTCATGGGGTCACGAAGAGTCAGACAGGACTTAACGACTGAACAACAACAACATAAATAGATAATGGGTGCAAGTTTCAACTATTTTGTGCATATGGGAACAGACAGATCCAGCAAACAGAGCTCTTCATGAAAGAAGTCCTTCATTTCATAATCACTCTTGCTGGCCTGGAGGTCTTTATCCTCAATTGTTTAGAACAGAATTTTTTTCCAGAACCAGCGCTGTGAGCAAATATTGGAATCCTATTGTCATATTTTATAAGTTTAAGAGGGTGTCTAGCACATCTTAATGATTTGGGAACCATAATATGTTAAACCATTTGTTATAATACAAATATTTTAAATCCAAGTTAAAGCTATAGATATGCATCATAGTTCCACATGCCTACCACACTATTTTGGCTGGCAAAAAAAGTGAGAAATAATATTTTATATCACATTCAGAATATGTCTACATTGAAGTTCTGGCAGTCCCAGTGGAACAAGAAATGAAGCTTTGTTACATAAATGCTCACCTAGTTCAAGGTCTCTTATTCCCATATACATTTCCAGAAGATCATCCACTTTTTTGGTAGCTTTTTCTTCCACATCTGAAGGCTTTACCAAAAGGAAGAAACAGAAATATAAATTATACAATGAGTAATGCAAAATAGATTAATTATAATATTTTAAAAATTTCAGCAACATGTTGCAGTGCAATCATATCAACATTGATTCCAAACTAATTACTACTAAGCCAGTGTTTCCCAGCCTGGGCAATTTGAAGATGTGCAGACTTCAGTTCCAAGAATTCTTAGCAATGGCCATGCTAGATGGAGAATTCTGGAAGCTGAAGTCCACACATCTTGAAGTTATCCAGGTTGGGAAACACTGCACTAAGCTAATATGCATATAAATATTTTTTAATTATTTATTGCAATTCCCAGGCCTTGGGAACAGGTGATTGTGATGCCCTCCTTCCCTTGTGGGTGGTTTATAGTTAGTGTCTTGCTCTCCCAGTTGTGTTGTGTATGTTTTTTTCCATGGATTTTTTTCATCTGTAAACTGCCCACAGTTGGGAGGTCTTGACATTTGATTAAATAAATGAATATTAATAAATGAATAAAATACAGAATCCAGATTTCTCTGGTGCAGAATTTAATATCTCATAATGAGATGAGGAATTTCAATAACAAAAATAGCTTGTTGCCTACTGAACAATCATGTTGAACTCTAAAAAAACAACTAAGAAATTCATTCATCTGTGACAGTGGACTCCATTGCAAAATCAATTGCAAAATATAATGAGACTAAACATTCTTCAGAGTCTTCTGCATCTGTTAGGGATGTGCAGTGTTTTAGATCTGAAGACAAAAAGGTGCTTTGGAGCATGCAGGATTGCTCTGATAACACTTTCTGTAATTCTGTAAACTCCCATGATTGGGATCGCTCCTTGAGAAGCAGCAAGACATGTTCTATTAAGCAGCTACAGACAGCTACCATGTGTGGTTTCTCCCAAAAAGCTGATCATGTAATATTGAACTTCTTCGTTTTAAGGAAAACTAAAGTTGAATATTGTTGCCTGGATCTGGAATGTGTAACTAGGATTACAGTGGGGCAAAAAAGTATTTAGTCAGCCACCAATTGTGCAAGTTCTCCCACTTAAAAAGATGAGAGAGGCCTGTAATTTTCATCATAGGTATACCTCAACTATGAGAGACAAAATGGGGGGAAAAATCCAGAAAATCACAGTGTCTGATTTTTAAAGAATTTATTTGCAAATCATGGTGGAAAATAAGTATTTGGTCAATATCAAAAGTTCATCTCAATACTTTGTTATATATCCTTTGTTGGCAATGACAGAGGTCAAACATTTTCTGTAAGTCTTCACAAGGTTTTCACACACTGTTGCTGGTATTTTGGCCCATTCCTCCATGCAGATCTCCTCTAGAGCAGTGATGTTTTGGGGCTGTCGCTGGGCAACACGGACTTTCAACTCCCTCCAAAGGTTTTCCATGGGGTTGAGATCTGGAGACTGGCTAGGCCACTCCAGGACCTTGAAATGCTTCTTACGAAGCCACTCCTTCGTTGCCCGGGCGGTGTGTTTGGGATCATTGTCATGCTGAAAGACCCAGCCACGTTTCATCTTCAATGCCCTTGCTGATGGAAGGAGGTGTTCACTCAAAATCTCACGATACATGGCCCCATTCATTCTTTCTTTTACACCAGGGGTCAGGAACCTAGTATGGCTCGCGAGCCAGATGTGGCTCTTTTGATGGCTGCATCTGGCTCGCTGCCAAATCTTTAATAAAAAAAATAACGGGGTAAGACTTAGAACACGTCTTCTATCCGCCGAGTGCAGGCCACGCCCTCCTCTGCATCGCATCCAGCATCCTTGAGACTCACCCTACCTTGCCCCGCAGCATCCGCGGCCGAACGGGCCTGGAGCCACATCATCCTCCACAGGCAGCCGCAAATCGAGGCCCCGGGTGCACTGCTTTGCATCCTGCTTCCACTGCCCTGCTCTGTTGGGTGAGTCCTCATCTTGGTCTGGCCCCCTGTTTGTGGCCCCAACGAGGTACGAGACGCATTTCAGGCACGGTGCCACTTTCCCCCAGTGGCCGAAAATCGAGCCCCTGGCTTGGGCCTAACCTCCTTGACGGCCTGTAAGTGTCCATCCCACCAGCTACACCCGCAATTGGCTACCCTGCCATCAGCAAAACCATGCAGCACCAGAAGTCGCATTAATGGTAAGAAGTACTTTATTCATCATTGGTTAGCAACAGCATAACAAGGTT